TATGGAAAAAGCAGAAAAATACTGACAATTAATAATATAAATGAGCCAGGTTAGCCTGGCCCAAAAGACCAAAAATCGTATGTTCTCCCTCATATGTGGACATTAGATCAAGGGCAAACACAACAATGGGATTGGACTTTGAGCACATGATAAAAGCTTTAGCACACAGGGAGGGGTGAGGATAGGTAAGACACCTCAAAAATTAGCTAGCATTTGTTGCCCTTAACGCAGAGAAACTAAAGCAGATACCTTAAAAGCAATTGAGGCCAATAGGAAAAGGGGACCAGGGACTACAGAAAAGGTGAGATAAAAAAGAATTAACCTAGAAGGTAACACCCACGCACAGGAAATTAATGTGAGTCAACCCCTGTATAGCTATCCTTATCTCAACCAGCAAAAACCCTTGTTCCTTCCTATTATGGCTTATACTCTCTCTACAACAAAACAAGAAATAAAGGCAAAATAGTTTCTGCTGGGTATTGAGGGGGTAGGGGGGAGAGGGAGGGGGAGGAGTGGGTGGTAAGGGAGGGGGTGGGGGCAGGGGGGAGAAATGACCCAAGCCTTGTATGCACATATGAATAATAAAAGAAAAAAAATAACTAAAAAAAAAAAGAACTAGGTATAATAACTAGGGCAAGCCTATATTCCTCTTATTTTAAATGCAAGGTGGATGATAACCAAACTGTTTATGATACATTTGATCAGTCGATGCAGGTGTGACTATCATTCACATAACCTAAGCTTGGAGGACTCACATTTTGGGGTCCCAAATCTACTTCCTAATTGTACTAAAGCCATTAGTATCCACAGCAATAACATGTCTAGTGTTGCCTTATTCAAAGTAAGAGAGCCTTAGCAGAAGAACTAGGAGCTGGGCTAGTAGTAAATGGCCAGGTAGATTTGCTTTTGAAAAAAAAATTTCAAGAATTTTTAAAAAGAGATGGAATTTCACTAAGTTGCTCAGGCTGGCCTTGATCTCCTAGGCTTAAGAGATCCTTCTGCCTTCGCCTCCTGAGTAGATGAGATTATAGGAATGTGCCACTATACAAAGCTCAGAAAGATTTCCTTTTAATAAGGAAAGACATATTGATGAAGACAACCAGTGAAATGAACAGGGTGCCTTGAACATAACCTATGTTCAAGAATAAGGACAAAAGAGGCAAGCTGTTTGAAATGAGAGGCAGTGCCAACAAAATGAATCTTATAACTACAATATACATTAAGATAACATATGAATCAGCTTTCATGTTAACACAAGCTGCATCACAAACTTCTTAACTCAAATGGACTCTGAGGTATCCCAAGCACAAGGGGCAGGGATACGCAAGGCAGAAACATGCATTATGCCATGTAAAGAAGACTTACGGATTCTCCAGTCTATGGAAATTTCAACTGAAGGATGCAATGTGCTGAGGTAAAATTTAACAGCTTTACACTGCAACTGCATGCTAACCAAGGTTAGCATGGACATATTTTAAACAGGACTAGTGTATTTCCTGTGGTAGAAAAATGAATTCTGTGGAAGGACCTTTCTTTCTAGGAACCAATACCTGTCAAACCACATAACCTGAGAGAAGGAATCTGGCTGTTGTCAAGATGTCTGAATCATGAAATAACAGAGATATCGTCCCTGATCTATACTGCTAGGAGAAATAATTTATTATTAAAATATTTAAATTATTAAAAATATATTATTTATGATATTAAGAAAAGGGAGATTTGTTGGGAAAGATTATTGACTCCACAATTTTTGTCTGACTTCTAACTATAATGGTGTCACTATATTTTGTAATATAGGAGTCACAGGTAAAATTAATATAAACTTATAAAATCTGACATGTTGAAACAGGATGTGGCAGTGCAAGCCCGTAATCCCAGAACTTGGTAGGATGAGGCAGGAAGATTGATAATTTGAGGCTATAGTGAGACCCTGTCTCAAAAACAAAACAAAAAATTACTGATGTGAGGATCAAATATATAGAGAGACTTAACTGAAGTTCTCCCAGAATATTATTCCTATGGGGGAGAATTAGTTTGATGAATATCTGAACTTGATTAATGCTGGATTAACTATGTCTCTTAATAACTAAGCAGATACATACTATAAAGTGCAGATAATTTTACATCAGGAAGGTAAAAAGATTAATAATTGGTCAGGGGTGAGAGAATGACCATTCTAAGAAGGCTAATTCTAGCAAGTCTGGCATTAGCCAGAGTAGTTTTGCTATAGTTGCTACATGGCATTGACCTTGGTCAAGGTATAGCTTGGAATATCTTGATTTAAAAGATGTTCTATATAACTAATCATTAGAGAAATGTAAATCAAAACCATGAGATGCCACTTCATACTCATTAGAAGGCTATTACCCAAAAATAGAAATAACAAGTATTGTTAAGGGTGTGGAAAACTGAAACCCTTGTGCATTCCTGATGGGAATGTAAAATGGTTCAGCTGCTGTGGAAAACAGTAAGGCAGTTTCATGAAAATTAAGCAAAAATTACCTTATGTACAGCAATTCCACTTTTGGGTATATAACCAAAGGAAATTAAAGGAACTTGAATAGATATTTGTACAATTATATTTATAGCAGTATTATTCACAATTGCCAAAAGGTGGAAGCAATTTAAATGTCTATCAGTGGATGTATGAATAAATAAAATATGGTACATATGTACAATGGGATCTTAGTCAGCCTTACAAAGGAATGAAATTCTGGTATGTGACACAACGGATGAACATTGAAGACATTAAGCTAAGTGATAAAAATACTATATATACCACTTACAGGGGCTGGGGGAGGCAAGCCTGGGAAGTTGTCTAATGGGTACTAAGTTTCAGTATGGGATGATAAAAAGTTTTGGAGAGGAATGGTGATGATGGTTGCACAACAATGTGAATATACTTAATGCCACTGAACTATCATTTAAAATGGTTAATGTGGCTCATTTTACATCATGTGTATATTATCACAATGAAAAAAAAATTAAAGTAAGAAGTTCCTCGTAGTTTGTACCAGTCTATTAACAGGAGTATTACATGGTTTATACTTGATCTCTTTAAGAACTCTGGAGGGGTTTACACATAGCATGCTTATATGACTAAATATGAAAAATCCCTAGTCGAGACTGCATTTTGTGATTCCCCAATTCTGAGGTAGTCTGTGCATGTGTTATGGACAGCATTATGTCTTCTGAAAATTCATGTGTGAAGCTCTAACCCCCAAGGATCTGCACCTGGAGATAGAGTCTTTAGGAGGTAATTTAGGTTAAATGAGGTCATAAGGGTTGGGCCCTAACTGCGGCCTTATAAGTAAAATGTGGCCATGTAAGAACACAGCAAGAAGGTGGCTGTCTGTAAGATATGAAGAGAACTCCCACCAGAAACTGACCATGCTGGTATCTGATCAAGAATCTACAATCTGCAGAATTGTAAGAAAATAAATTTCTGTTGTTGAAGCCACGCATTCTATGGTATTTTGTTACAGCAGTCTGAGCAGACTATGACGGCATTGGTGGTTCCTGATCTGTGAGAGAAAATGCACTCAGCCTGGCTCTTATAGAATGGAGTACAATAGTTTATATCTGGCTTCTCTGCATCCCTTGCTATGAGACTAATACATTCTGTATTACAGTAATGCTGTAAAGGATTACTTTAATGTTCTTGTTCTTTTGTACCTTTTTTGGTAAGAATCTTACTGGCTACTAATTGACTTAGGTTTTGACTAGTCAATGATGTGAAAGTGATATGTACTCAATAGAAACCATACTTCCAATTCCTGAATTTGGATCTTTCTCCAAGATAGTGTTATGTGATGGTATGGTCTTCTCTAACCATGTGGGGCACAGCACTGAGCCACAGCTCCCAGTCACCCAGAACATCTCAAGGGTAACAATCAATGCTCTACAGTGTGCTGTGTTGCTAAACCACAATATTTAGTAGGTTAGATTTTTTTTTTTCTGGTACTGGGATTTGAACTCAGGGTCTCATCACTGCTAGCCAGGTACTCTACCACTTGAACCACTCTGACAGCCCTTTTTTGTGTTGGGTATTTATGAGATAGGGTTTCGCTTTTTTTTGCCCAGGCTGGTCTCAAACTGAGATCCTCCTGATCTCTGTCTTCTGAGTAGCTAGAGTGTGAACAACTAGGGCCCAGCTAATACATTTTTTTTTTTTGGTGGCACTGGGGTTTGAACTCAGGGCCTCACACTTGCTAGGGAGGTGCTCTTACTGCTTAAGCCACTCTACCAGCCCTTTTCTGTGATGAGTTTTTTTAAGATAGGGTCTTGTGAACTATTTGCTCTGGGCTGGCTGCAAACCACGATCCTCCTCTTGATCTCTGCCTCCTGAGTAGCTAGGATTACAGGCATGAGCCATTGGTGCCTGGCACTAATGAGTTTTTGATGTACAACATTCTCAATTTACCATGGGTTTATTGGGATGTAATCCCATCATAGTCCAGGAGCACATGTAATAAACTAGACTTGTAAGCACTATCATTTTGGGTCCTATGTGTCTTCTTTAGCAATTAAATTCTGTTTAACTGCCAATATTAGTATAGTTATCAAAGGAAAGGGAACAAAATTACTTAATTTATATTGTTCCAGCTGGGTGCTGGTGGCTCATACCTGTAATCCTAACTACTCAGGAGGCAGAGATCAGTAGTATTGAGGTTCAAAACCAGCCCGGGCAAATAGTTTGCAAGACCCTATCTCAAAAAACTCTTTACAAAAACAGGGCTGGTGGAGTGGCTCAGGTAAAGGCCCTGAGTTCAAGCCCCAGTACTGCCAAAAGTAAATAAATAAATGAAAGTTCATGAATAAAAGAAAGAAGTTTTACTTTACCTTTCAAGGTATTGAGTCTCTAGATATGTCCACCAAGTATATTGAAGTAGAAGCTAGACATCTGTCTGTGAGATTATTACACCGGGTATATGAACTGAAGGGCCTACTAAACTCTAAGATTTTTTAATTTGAGAAAACTTTTCTGGTAGGAGCCTTACCTGTGATGTCAGCTTCCCAGCAATCTGCATTCTCTGAATTTCTGCAGGAGATTTGCTTAGTCGGAGGCGCTGCACCAGCTGCTGGACACCCCGAACCTTGTTCTTGCTCCTGGCTTTGGCCTCAGTCACATGCTGCATGTAGTCATAGTGAAGCTGTGCATGAGGAGGCTTCATCCAGTCATACCAAACCGTGTTTGTCTCAGCTTAGAATGAAAAGTCAAAAAATAAACTGAAAACTAACAGAAGCTGGGAGTGTAGCTCAGTGGTAGAATGCATTTGTGAGGTCTTGGATCCTACCCCCAGCACCAAAAATTAAATAAAATAAAAACAAAACAAAACTAGTACTGGATGTAGCTCAGTGGTAGAACTTTTGCCTAGCATAATATGAGAAGCCTTGGGTTCCATTCCCAGCACTAGTTAAAAAACAAACAAACAAATGAAAAAACCAAACCCAAATAAACACACAAAACTAACAGCAATGACAAGAAACAGCACGTGTCATGATGACTTGAAGAAGTAAAACTGTAAAATCTGCTATGTAAATCCTGAAGGGTTGAGGAAAACTTCTTCACAATTGAAGGGTTTGATCACAAGTCACTGGAAAGGCCATTCTTTGAAAATGGTGAGATATTCTAGGACTGAATATACAGATTTTCTGTCCAAATTTGTTAGTGTTCTTTTTTTTTTTTTTACGAGAACAATTTTTTTTTTATTATTCATATGTGCATACAAGGCTTGGTTCATTTCTCCCCCCTGCCCCCATCCCCTCCCTTACCACCCACTCCGCCCCCTCCCTCTCCCCCCCACCAATACCCAGAAACTATTTTGCCCTTATCTCTAATTTTGTTGTAGAGAGAGTACAAGCAATAATAGGAAGGAACAAGGGTTTTTGCTGGTTGAGATAAGGATAGCTATACAGGGCATTGACTTTATAAAGATGATAGCTGGGAGTAAAGCTTCAAGTTTTGATTTTGTTATTTATTACCATTCTTCACCACTATTGATCTAGAAGTACTGTTGAATTATTGTACACAAAAAAGAACACGCAAAAAAGTACTTAGCTAATGACTTTATGGTTAAAGTGTCTTATTCCTTCAACAAATGGTCCAGTACTAGTTGAACAAGGTTCTCCTCTCATTTTGAAGCAATTATTCATTGCTACAGAAACACTACAGCTGATAATATGTACATCATTCCCTTTTTACCTGCTATCCATTCTTGTTATAAACAACCATGGTTTGAACTTTCGACTTTGGAGACCTATGAAAGTGGTCTATATCTGCCTGAGATATATGGTAACGAAGGCTCACTATAAAAATGATTTGCACATAACAATACATATGTGTTTGATCTTTATTTCTTTTACCTGACGATAGACTGAATGGTATTCCTAAATAAGCCTGAAGGGTGGTATATTTTATAGTATTAAAAAGGACTTTGGGACAGAACAAGGGAAAGAAAACTTTGACTACATATGCATTATAATGATACTATACTTTAACATTTTAAAATAAAAATGGTTTTAAACATATATTGCATATAATACTTATCCTACTTGTAATAGAAATTTACTGAATTTTTTAAAAGTTAACTTGTATCACTTATTCTCAGTGTATGAAATCATAGTTCAACCTTTTTTAAAGTTATTAAACTCTTGAATAAATATTTTTATTAACCTTCTTCTTTTTGTCTAGTACTTTTATACAGTAAACTACTAACATTATAAATAGTGGCTGAGCACCAGTGGTTCAACACCTGTAATCCTAGTTACTTGGGAGATAGAGACTGAGAGGGTTGCAGTTTGAGGCCAGCCTGGGCAAAAAGTCCTCGAGACACTCATCTCAACCAATAGCTGGGTGCACTGGTGTGTGGCTGTCATCCCAGCTACTGTGGGACAGACAAAAAATGAGATTCTATCTCAAAAATATCTAGAGCAAAAAGGGCTGAAGGTGTGGCTCACCTGCCTAACAAGTGCAAAACAGTAATTCAAACCCCAGTATCATCCCCCCTCAAAAAAAAAAAGAAGTAATTTTGAGAAACATTTTTCATGAGGATTTAACTGTACACGATTAATGAAATTTAGGATGTCAAAGATAACAGCCAACAACTGATACAAGAAATCAAATACTTTTGTGCCCCATATTTATATATTGATGTTGAGCTCTCTCTCTCTCTCTCTCTTTTGCAGATAGTGTCTCTTTATGTAGCCCAAGCTAGTGTCAACCTTCTGATTCTCTGTCTTAGCCTTCTTAGTGCTGGGATTATAGGACATACCCTACCATATCCAGATTTTTATTGGACTATGAAGAGGTAAGAAAATTCTCCAGTAACACCAAAACAAAACAAAACACTCCAAACAAAATTCAATGAGTTAAGCAGGGTAAATAGAAAATACTTTTATACAGTAATAAAAATAAATCAATCAAACATATATTGTCAAATGAGTGTTTTTTTTCCAAAGGAATGTTTGTAGGAAACAAGTTCAACATATCTATCCTAAGACTGTCTGAAACACTTTTGGAATTCTCATTTAGAAACTGACTTCAGAAATGTTTTACAAGCCATAAGAGCAATCAGACTAAAACTTTACAGTAATATTTTATTGGCCTAAAATCACTTACTCTGTTCTAAAATCAGTATTTCCTAACTTGCACACCTTAGTGTGTAAGTGACTTTTGGATACTTCAAAGAATAAAATGTTCAAAGAACTGAAGATTTACAAGAATCACTAAGAACAGTTTATAATGTGGTATGGTTCTGAACAAAATTCCAGAAGAGAAATCCAAAACATTCTGAGTGATTAAAATTTCACTAGAATAAATGCTGAGAAAGTAACTGTTTTGAGGGGCAAGAAATCACCTGAGAATCATGTTAAAATGCACATTCTGATTCAGTAGGCATAAGGTGGGGGCCTGAGATTTTACTTTTCCAGTGTCTATTATGCACTTCTAATTCTATTATATATCACCAGGTGATTGTGATGCAGGTGAAGGATGCCTCCTTTTGAAAACCTGGCAAAATTACTGTTCTTTTGTGGCAGGTACTATATTGTTTTCATGCACTGTATAAATTCTACCTTTCTTATGGGAAAAACAACTTTGGTGGAGGCATAAAGAAATTTATTCCATTTTCTTTGCTAATAAAGAGTTGGTATTGCTGGGTACCTGTGGCTCACGCCTGTAATCCTAGTTACATAGGCAGCAGAGATCAGGAGGATCACGGTTCAAAGCCAGCCTGGGCAAATAGTTTGGGAGACTCTATTTTGAAAAAAACCCATCACAAAAAAAGGCCGGTGGAGTGGCTCAAAATAGGCCCTGACTTGAAGCCCCAGTACTGCAAAAAGGGAAAAAAAAAAAAAGAGAGAGAGTTGGTATCAATTGTTAATTATGAAAAAAACTTGGTGAAATAATTAGAGTAAGTAGTAGTGGTCAGAGGTCAATAGGCTGGGTCAGCAATCCTGAAGAATGGCTCATGCTCTTTGTCCATTTTAACAGGAAATTCTCAGGCCAGGTGCATATACTAGGTGAGGGTACATGCCTGTAATCTCAGCACTCGAAGGCTGCACAAGTTTGAGGCCAGAATGGGCTAAGCAGCTCTCAAGACCATTTTTTTAAGAGAAAGAAGAGCCAGGTGAAGGTGGCTCAAATCTGTAATCCTACCTACATGGGAGGCTGAGATCAGGAGGACTGAGGTTCAAGGTCAACCTGGGCAAATGGTTCTCAAGATCCTGTTTCCAAAATAACCAGTGCTAAATGGATTGGAAGTGAGGCTCAAGTGGTAGAATGCCTGCTTTGCAAGTCAGAAGCAAGCTCAAAGCCCTTGCTTCAAATCCCAGACCACAAAAAAAAAAAAAAAAATTCTCTGAGATTTCAAACTAGGATGGTTAAGAGGCTCTGTTAATGAATAATCTAGTGAAGACTTAGTAACTGGATACATAAAATAAAGTAGCTCACTTTTCTGGAGAAGACTTACATTTCTTTCACGTACTCAAGAGAGAAACTATGAGTACTTTAGGAAATTAAAACCTACACAGGGAAAGAAGATTTAAATCCCAACTTGGCCTGTGACTTGACTTCTGTTCCCATTTGTTACCTTTCAGTTTGGGGAGTAGGTGTTGAAATTCTTCTAACGTATAGGCTTCGTCCACTCCTGTAAGAGCTACTGCTCCATCTGTGCCAGATCGAGGGCCATCCCAAAGTTCTCGACCAGGGTCTCTTCGAGGCACGAAAAGTATGGCCTTATGAAATGGCAACTGCTTGCCGGGGAGGCTCTGAAGGACCAGAATGCTATCAGGCTCTTGGAATCCACACAGGTAGAGGAAATTGTTGTCCTGGTGGAAAATGTAGGGGATATCGTTGCTCATGTAGTGCGTAGGGCTGGAGAGCAGCACTACTGTCTGATCTGTCCCAGTCTGCCCTTGTGCTTCCTCGTGTATCAGAGACATTAATTTGTATCTGCGAAGTGCGTATTCCACCTGAGATAGTCCTGGTGTCACTTCCCCTAGAAATGAGAAATAAAATCGATGCATGTCTGTAGTGCCAAAGTACTTAAGGTAAGTTAATATTAGTCTGAGATACCCAAGTTCAACTCATCATTTTATGCTAAATCTCAATGCACATGGGTAATTAAGAAGGTAATCCAGGTTTTTATTTCACCACAAAAATTTGGAAGAAACTGTAGAACTGAACTTGTTGAAATTGAAAATTGGGACCATAGCCCTGTGAAATCTCTTCCAGATCTTTGGTTCATTTTTCTGTACTCATCCAATCATATATTAATTATTATGTGAAAGGCATTGTTGGACATATAGTACAAGCTTCCCTGAAGTTTCAATATGTAAGATGGGTAGAGGGCCACATTGTTTGTGTATGGCTTTCTTAAAAGAATACAAGCTCCAGGAAAACACAGATTTTTGTTTATTCAGCATTATATTCCCAGGGTCTAGAATAGCTGTAATATTCTCCAATTTCAAGACCCAGAATAAATTTCCCTTCTGGATTCCCAAGGCATAATAACTTTCTAATAAAACTTTTTTCTCTATTATTTCCTAGTAAGACTTTTTCACTCTCTGCTTTGTGTTTACAGTGAGTTGGATATACATATGCATAAGCTCCTTTTGGGGTATCTTTGTATTCTTCAAAAGCCCTAGTAGTATTATCTACCTGTTGGGGCTGTCATGAGAATCAAATCCAATAAAGCATGTAGTTTTTAAGTATTGACCACTCCCTGGGGAATCTTTTGAAAACTATGGCTTCATTCTATTCACTAAACTGCATGTAGGGACACACAAGGTTTTGACATAAAACTCTGGGAGTCCCAGATCCCCTTAAGTCCCATCCCCCACCATTATTAAAAACCTGTTATGAAGGGGTTGTGTACTTGTTCTTAATATTAGTACCTAATAATCTACCTGGCTACCAGCACAGTGATGACTGAGTGAATGTTTCCCTTATGAAATGTAAACTGTACCTGCTCTTACTTTAAGTTCCAAAACAAAAGAACCACTAAACCACTCATCATAGCTGGATCCCCTCATCCTTCACTCGACAATGATAGTAAAAGTAAAATAGTATCTAATACTTATTGAGTGTGTTCTACATGTATAGTACTAACTGCTCTAATTATTTATATGTATCAACTTAATCTACAGAATGAAGATGATATTACTTTTATTTCTCCCAGTAATAGCCAGTCTCCATATCCAAATACAGAAAGTTAACTCTGAAATAGTGCTGAATGAAGAAGTTACAGAAGGACAAAAGAGAGGGCATATGAGAAACCAGGTAAGATGGCTCACACCTAGAATTCTAGCTACTAGCCAGAGATGGAGAAATGGAGGCCAGTCTGGGCAAAAAGTTCTTGAGACCCTATTTCAACCAATAGCTAGGCATGGTGATGAGCGACTGTCATCTCAGCACTGAGGGCATTAATAGGAAGATTGAAGTCTAGGCTGACGGGACAAAAAGTGAGACCCTATTCCAAAAATAAATAAAGTGGAAAAAAAAGGCCTGGAGGTGTGGTCAAGTGGTAGAGTGCCTACCTACCTAGCAAGCACAAGACCCTCAAACTCCAGCACCAAAAGGAAAAAAAAAAAAAAAGAATTATACTTTCCTACAGTGGTGATCTAAAGGAGTAATATTAAACTAAAAATTTCCATTTAATATGCTTTTATATTACTTGAATTTTGTCTTAATGAGCAATGTTTTATTAAAATCCTAAATAAAGAAAAAAAAGAGGTTATAAAAGGGAAACCACGTGAAGTCCTCACCATATTTATAAATTGCAATTGTTTTTTCTTGCCCATTAGACCAAATTCAGATCCTCAGGCCTAGATTTTAATGTCCTCTACCAGATGACTCCAATTTATTTGGCTACTTAAAAAAAAAAAAAGATAAAGTACACAATTTAATGATTTTTGGGATACTACAGAATCATGAAAAACCATTACAATCACTGGGCTCACGCCTGTAATCCTAGCTATTCAGAAGGCAGAGATTAGGAGGATCACATTTCAAAGCCAGCCTGGGCAGATAGTTTGCAAGATCTCTATCTCTAAAACACCCATCACAAAAAAAAGCACTGGTTGAGCGGCTCAAGGTGTAGGCCCTGAGTTCAAACCCCAGTACCGCACAAAAAAACCCAACCAAACAAAATACAGCACCACAATCAATTTTATTTTTTTAATTTATTTTTTCAATTGACAGATAAAATTGTATTTACTATGTACAACATGATGTTGTGAAGTATATATCATTGTGTAATGACTAATTACAGCTAATGCACATATACATTACATCACAGTTACCATTTTTGTGGCAAGAATACTTTATTCTCAGCATTTTCCAACATACAACAATACAATACACTACACAGCTGTAGTCACTGTTGTTAATTTTAGAACAATTCATCAACCCAGAAAGAAACCCATGCCCATGAGCAGTCACTCTCCACTACCCTTTTTGCAAACACTCATCTATTTTCTGTCTTCTATGCATTTGCCTATTGAAGAGACTTTATATAATAGAAATTGTATAATACATAGTCTTTGGAGACTTAGCCAACATTTTTCTTCTCCCAATTATTCTGCCATTAATTCCTCCTTATCTCTTAGGCAAATCCAATCTATTCTTCCGAAATTACCCAGCTTACAGTATGTCCCTTTTCTGAAACTTCTTCTCCTTTCATACTAATTCCACTCCAAGATTTTGGCTTAATACTTGTTTTTATATTCTTCTCATTCAAAAGGCTGTCTTGACCTGTCTATATCACAATGATTTATCTCTTTGAAATTTTTTTCTGGTGGCACTAGGGTTTGAACTCACCTTGCACCTTCTAGGCAAGTGCTCTATCACTTGAGTCACACCTCCAGCCCTTTTTGCTTTAGTTATTTTTCAGATAAGGTGCCACACTTTTCACCTCAGCTGGCCTCAAACTGCTCTTCTTAACTCTGCTTCCCAAGAAGTTGGGATTACAGCCAAGGGTCACCATACCCAGCCTGATGTCTCTGAATTTTTAAAGGGCAATTATTTCCTACAGTTGTGTATAAATGTAATCACATCATACTCAATTCTTTCTCCCATACCATCCCCTTTTTTTGGACCCATATCTTGGTGTTTGAAGGTAGAATGAGCATATGCGAAGCCGCTAACATCACAGACAAGACGCAGAGAAGGCCTGAGCCCTTTCCTTTTGCCTCTGTATGTAATGAGAAGTGGAACCACATGCCTGGTCCTCACCAAGAAAAGGAGGGTCTGCTGGCCAGGGCCAGACCTCCACCTCCACCCCACCCCACCCTTACCTGACCTCCCTTACAGAGCCTACACTTAACAAGTCACCACCTTTCCAATACTTCCCCCCCTTTCTTCACTGTTTAGCAACTTGGTCACCTTCTCTCCTTCACCTACATCAGCACCTTGCCTATATTTGTCATCTAACATGTACCCTTTCCTATTTTTCTCAGCACTCATAGAATCACACATACACGTGCATATGAGGTTTTTATAATCACTGTTTTCAAAAATTAGACTGTATACTCTTTTGAGTATCTTTCTTTTCTAACTTAATAATATCAACAAAAATCCAAGTCATCTGCTATAGCTTCAATTCATTCTCCTTGATGTCTCCACAATATTTACTCAGCAAATGGACATACCACAACTTATTGAGCAATTTCTTTACTGATAGACATCCATATGGTTTTCAGCTTTTCTCTGCTACAATAAACATATTTGTACTTACATCCTGGTAATTTTATGTCCTATGTACTAGTGTTCCTCCCCACCCATGGGACAGTTCCAGAAAAGAGAACACAAGTTGTGTCAAAGACCTTTGAATTTTCTTAGTGATCATGGTCAGCTTATGTAATTCAGTTGTTTATGATTACCTTAGGACTGTCTAGTTATTTAATTGGTGCAAATTGCAAATTTCAGCAATTTTTTTTTTCTTTTTAAATTGGGGTCTCACTATGTAGCTCAGGCTGGCCTTGAACTCTCTATATAGATCAGGTTCACCTCCAACTCACAATTCTCCTCTTCCACCTCTCAAGTTTCCCAACTTGGGTGTTATGCCACAAACCTAATGCAAATTTCTGCAAATTGAGCAGCTTGCATTCCATTAATAAATTTATTTTATCTTTTAAAACATGTACAGTAGGAAAAAATTTACCCATTTACTGATGAAGTTGGCAAGAAATAAAAGATAAATAACGGAGGGTCTTACAGCCCAGTATGAATCAGGCAAAGCAACAGAGTGGGCTGGGAAAGAGCTCATTCACCTTTTTTTCCTCTTCAGATAGCTAACGAAGCCTCCTCTAGAACTCTTAGGCAGAAAACTGAACTTTGTACCAGAGCTGAAGAACAGCTTAACTCTCTGATAAATATTGATGTTTTAGTCTGTCACTCTTACCCAACACTGGAAATTTCCCAATTACTCAAGCAGTAAATACTATTTCATAAAAGCAGAAACTGATTATAATTTGTGGGTTATTGGACCTTTCCTTTTTTGTCATTTTACTTTCTCTGTTTCCTAGGATTTGCATTTTGTTACTTCATAGTTAAGTCTATGAAATAAACAAAAATTAAAAATAAATTCATTTTGTGATTAAAAAAAAAAGTAAGTGCTGGAGCTGTAGCTTGGTGGTAACAGTACATGCTTAGCATGTGGGAGGCCCTAGGTTAAAGATACAGCATCAGAAAAAATTCAGATAGGAAGAAAATTCTTAATTCAATAACTTTAATGAATTATTCTATCATTTTCCTTAATAAGAGTGTATACATTAACATATGTAAAGAAGTAACTTCCGAAAAAAAGAATTATTTGGAAACCATGGAAGGACTGGAAAACAATCTTTTACACTTTTTTTTTTTTTTTTCCATGCTGGGATTTGAATTCAAGGTCTACACCTTGAGCCACTCCACCAGCCCTCTTTTGTGTTGGGTATTTCTGAGATGGGGTCTCAAGAACTATTTGCCGGCTGGCCTCGAAATACGATCCTCCTGATC